CACCATCACCATGGCCACCATCACCACCACTATCATCCTTCTCACCATCACTACCATCACCATCACCATCCTTTTCATCGTTACCATCACTGTCATCATCACTGGCATCCTCACCACCACCATCACCCTCCCTTGTAGCTTCACGGCCTCAGAGTCAGCCTGTGCTTTCTTCCTTCTGTCAGGGTTATCTAATACATTGACTCATTATTTTTTTATTATTTAAGGCATTTCTTGAGGGGCATTTAAAATATTGTTGTCCCAAATCATCTTACTTCTCTGCTCTCGAAGGGTCTGCAGTGTGGCCCTCCCAGCTCTTAGCTTAGGGGAAGAGGGTGAGGGATTGATGTTATGTCCCCTACCTGCAGCTTCTAGGAGAGAACTAACCAGCCACTGACCAGTGTAGTGACTGGTCAGTCCTGTGGTCCTGAGTTCCATGCCTGCAGGAAGGGTCAGTTCTAGTTGGGAAGGTCTTGTGCTGGACGGTATCCAATGGGATGAATGGTGGGAGGAATGATGTGTTCACCGCATGGATTTTTCCTGGTGAGGCCAACTTTACTAGTTTGCTTTTGGGAACAGTGGGGCAGTGGGAAGTAGAGGAGACAGGAAGGGGAGACTGAACCCTGCATGCTGCTCCTGGATGAGGCCCTCTGCTCACCTTCCTGCTTGCTGGAAGTGGGAGTTCAAGGGGCTACAAGGTCTCTTGCAAGTTCTCAACCAGCTTCTGCCGACAGAAAATGAATTATATCTCCAGCACCATCTGCTTTGCTGTTCATGAAACTCCTCTGGCCGTGCTCTCATGTTAATGTTCTGTTCCATTTCATGCTCTTCCCCACCCTTTGGTTCCCTTGCACAATAAAAAAGCACCAAACTGTCCTTCATTCTGTCTCTGTGGTGTCACGTTTCTTTGCCATGTGTCTGGCCTGCCACTGCTTTGCTGCCTCACACCACGTAGGTGGGGCACAGGCTGGAGGGGCTGGGTGTCCGAGCAGAGAGCCCTAGACCCTCTGTGGGAGGGACCAAGGCGAGGGTTGTGGTTCCCTGGTGGGGGAGGGTGGGAAAGGCATCCTGCTTAGAGTGTCCGGGACCAATAAGGCTAATGGCCATTTGCCCAGAAGAAAGGACCATCTCAGGCCAGGTAGGTGGCCACCTTCCTCACCTGTCTGTCGTTCATCCTGGAAAAGAGAAGATACTGGGGAGGAGTGGGGTGGGGTGAAGAGGGACAGAGAGAGGAAGGAGGCGGGCACAGAACTGGGGCCATATGGAAAGGCCGGTCTGGTCATAAGCTGTACGACCTCAGTCAAGGTGCGTCATCTCCACGAGCATCAGTGTTTGTATCTATAAAGTGGGATCACAAAAGGAGTTTATTACAAATTCTAAGGAAATGGGATTCAATTTAATGAGCCTGGGAGGGGGGTCCCATTTTGATACTTCTTTGTTTTGACAAAGTCTATTTACTAGTTTTGGTATTTTGGGCTGCTTCTCCAGGACCCCAGGCCTATCTGAATCCCGTAGGCAGCAGGATAGCAAAATGGGTCAGTGGAAAAAAACAGGGGCTTTGGGGTCACACAGACCTGGGCTCAGATTCTCATTTGGTCATTGCTTCAGTTTCTCTCCTCTGTGTAACAAATGACCACAAGCATCAGCCATTCATTAGCTCGCAGTTGTCCAAGTGAGACGTGGCTCGTGTCTTGGCCTGCTCAGGCCTTGTTAGCAAAATACTGTGAACTGGGAGGCTTGTAAACAACAAGCATTTACCGCAGCTCTGGAGGCTGGGACATCATGATTAAGGCACTGAAGATTTGGTCTAGTGAGTGCCTGCTCTCTGGTGTGTAGAGGTTGCCTCATGCTGTCCCTACCTGGTGCGGGGGCCAAGTGAGCTCTCTGAGGTCTCTTATAAGGGTTCCTAGTGGATTCCCCTCCCAGAGGCCCCACGTCCTAACACGATCACTTTGGAGGTAAGGACTTCAACACATCAATCTTCACGGGGAAACAAACCTTACAACAAACCTACAGCAACCAGGTTCTCTGCTCAACATGTCAGTCAGGACAGCCTTGGGAGGCTCTTGGGAAGAATTTGCTTCCCAGCTCATGCAGGTGCTTGGAAGGATCTGGTTCTTTATTCTAGGGCTGAGGGCCCCATTTCCTTGCTGACTGTCAGCTGGGGCTGCTGTCAGCTCCTGGGGGCCACCCACGTTGCTTGGCATGTGGTCCTTCCAGCTTTAAAGCCAGTGATGGAGATTTTCTCCCTGGTTGAGTCCGGATCATGCTTCAAATCTCTCTGACTTCTGCATCTGGTCTTGACTCTGGTTGAAAGGGCTGTGTGGCAAGGTCAAGTCCACATGGACACACACTTGGCTCAGCCTTATCATATAGCCTGCAGAGTCCTTGCTGTGAATCAGCATTATTATTAGAGTAATAATCCAATGGCCCCAGGAGGCGGGTAGGAGGGTAGGCCGTGGAGAAGGGGCTCTGAGCTACTATTTCAGAACAGAATTGTATTTGAACTTCAGGGAGTGGGTGGAGAGAATGGAGACCTCCCACCCCCAGTCTAGCCCTCTGCGGCCTCTGCCCTTTCTCTTCCTCCCAAAGCTCTTCATGGGTGTATCTGCCCTCTCCTCTTTAAGTGAGCTGGAAACCGGCGCCCTCTGCAGGAGAAAGCAGCTTCCTTCCAGGGTCTGGGGCTGCATCCTCCTGCCCAGGGGGACCAAAGGGACAGGAGGATGCTTCTGGGCAGGATGCCCCTGTGGCAGTGGCAGTGGCAGTTTAAAAGAGGGTTTGTTCTTTACTGGAGTCACTTTCAGTTCTCTCCCGGAGGTGGTGCTGGTATGACTGTCACGGCCCCTACTCACTTCTCCCAGGACAAGCACATCCCCAGCCTTATTCATGCTGGGCTTTGATGTGGCCAGGGCCGCAGCGGCCTTCAAAGGGGATATGGCCCATGTGTCTCGTGTCCTGGCAAGGGAAGAGAGGTGATAACAGCTCAGACAAAGCTCTTTCAGGCTCCTTGGGCTGAAAATGACAGCTCCACCACTCCTGCTCTGTGGGCTGAGCATGGTGGCCCAGTGAGGTTGAAATACTTCTCCTTTCTCCACTGGGCACCTCCGTTCCCTGGGCCCCCTGTTTCAGTTTCATCTGTACGGCCTAGTTTCACAGTCAGCCTTTCTTCCCAGCTACCCCTGCCAGACAGGAGGCTGGGGAAGGTGCTGGGCCACGACTACTCCAAAGGGGTTGTTAGCATAGACACCAAGCCGGGCCCAGGACAAGGTGTGGTCTCAGGCCTGGAGGAGTGAGTGGGGCACAGGCTGGGACCTCCGCTGCTCAGCTAATGGTGTTTTAAATGCATCCAGGCTTGAGGCTGGGAACCAAGGATGGGGAAAGCTTGTCATGGGGTGTGGCAGTACTAAGCATTGCTTATTTGGGGATGGGAGTGGAGGGGTGATTGGGAAATCAGCCTGGCCACACTCCAGCATGCCAGGCCTGGAAGGAGGTCAGTTTGTGCCCTGGGATTCAACTGGTTGGCTCTGGGGACTGTGGCCAAGGCTGGGGGACAGGCAGGCTGCTAGGCAGGAGGCCTCCATGAGGCTGTGCTGTTGTCACAGGTGGCTTTGGGCACCTTTTCCACTTCCCTAGGGGAAAGCCACACCAGGTCTATGCTCTCCCATTGGAAGGAGGCTGGGTCAGTGCAGGTTAGCTGAGGAGCAGGGGCTCTGCTGAGGGGGTCACGTAACTCACCACTGAGCACTCCCCTTTCCTTCCTACAGCCCGGCCAGCACTTGGCTCCCAGCCCACACCTGGCTGTGTACACTGGAACCTGCGTGCCGCCCTCTCCTTCCAGCCCTTTCTCCTCCTCCTGCCGGTCCCCCAGGAGGCCCTTCCCTTCGCCTGGCCGCTTCATCCGGCGGCCCAGCAGCACCATTTGCCCCTCGCCCATCAGGGTGGCCTTGGAGAGCTCCTCAGGCTTGGAGCAGAAGGGGGAGCCCAGTGGGTCCAGGATCCCCAATGGGTCCTCTGAGGCCGAGGGCAGTGAAGCCTCCATCCATGGCCCCTGGCGCCGCAGCCTGCCCAGGGCCCCTCCCAAGGCCCGCATGGCTCTGTCCTTGGGCAGGTTTCTCAGACGAGGCTGTTTGGCCTCACCTGTCTTCGCCAGGCTCTCACCCAAGTGCCCACCTGTGTCCCACGGGAAGGTGCAGCCCCTGGGGGATATGGGCCAGCAGCTACCACGGCTGAAATCCAAGAGAGTAGCAAAGTAAGGACCAGAGGGGGTTTTGCTGCATGTGCTGGGGCTTTGCGGGGCCAGGTGTGCTCTGGAGCTGGGGGCCGGGGTGGGGGCTGGGTGGGAGGGCCTGGACAGCAGACACCCGGATGGGCCACTCAGATCCCTTGTTCCCCAGAAGGTCTTCAGAAACTCCTGCCCTCTCAAGCATCTTTCTGCTCACCAGGCCCCATCCCAAGACTATTAATCTCATAAATCCATCGTATTTGTAAAGGGCAGGGAAGATTGGTGGCAGCGGTGGAGCTGCAGGTGGAGGGATGCCCGGGACAAAGTCCCAGGGGGCTTAACTCCTCCCCCACCTGAGGTGCCCTTAGCCCCTCCCCCACCCCTCCTGCAGCCACCTGCACCTTAGAGGTGCTGGCGGGGATTCCTGCTCCAGCAGTCTGTGAAAATGAAAGCGCCCAGCCTCCGCCTGAGCAGTGGCCTGGAAACCCCTAGTCCTGCAAACCTGACCTCTAAGTGCCCCAGGTGTTCCAAGGCAGCCCACGGGGTGCGGAACGGAGGCTCTGAGGAGTGCTTAATAATGCCTGGACCAGTGCCAGAAAGAAAAGTTGCAAGCAATGTAGATCAGAAAAGCAGCTCCTTTTGGAGCTTACTAGGGTTTGCCGGGAGGTAGTAAGGGGCACCCTTGCACCAATCATCATGTTCTTGTGTTTGGCCCTGCCTGGCCTCAGAGAAGGACGCACCAGTGGTCTCAGGTTGACACGGATGCCTGAGGGGCATGGCCTCTGCCCACAGTGGGCGTGGCAACAGCTGAGGGGAGCTTGTTCCCTGAGGTTGTTCCTTGAACCTGCCCTTGTTGGTGGGAAGATGGAGAAGGGGGTTACTCTGACTGCCTTAGGAGAGGATCAGGATCCAGCGTGAGTGTGTCTGTAATTTTTCCCAAACGGCCCTTCTGAGGGAATGTTCTAGTTTTGTGGCCACCCCCGTACCTCACATACGGGCTTTTACAAGGCTCTCTTCTCAGGGGTCACCAGTTCCTCAGAGGACAGTTTAAAGGGGCTGATGATTAAGGACTGACGGGTCATACAGGGACAACCATAAAAATTGACCATAAAAATTCAAGCCCTTTGAGATGAAAATAAAGCATCTTCAGAATTACCTTTAATTCAACAGATGAGTAGGGATCCTTAATAAAAGGGACCCACAAAGCCAGTCACTGCACGCGCAGCTCTCGGTAAATGTACCTGGGGTTAATCTTCAGGGATGTCAGGATAATCCAGGGATTTGCTGTCCCTCCTGCCCCCGCATCACTTGCTCTCCTCTTGCACCTGAAGCTTTTTCCAGATCAAAATGGACGTGCCTACAGACAGCGGGACCTGCCTGATGGACTCAGAGGACACTGGGACAGGAGACGCAAGTGACCAGGCCATAGAGAAGGAGGTCATCTGCCCCTGGGAGAGCCTGGCCCAGGGGAAAGCAGGCTAAGCCAGGAGCGGTGCCCCTGGAGGACACTCCTGACAGGTGCCACGGATGAGGCCACAGACATGCTCACTCAAGAACCAAAGCGCATGACTTCTGAGGACTGCAGAGATAAGATGGGGTGGATTGTGGCATAGAATGCCCTGGCCAGCTCCCTGTGGCTAACTCTTTCTCCTCCTCCTGACTTTCCTTCCCTTGAGCAGAAAAGAGGCATGTGGACCAGAAGACTTTCCTTGCTGCCTTAAAACCAGTAAAAGGTTAACTTGTAAGAGTTTCTTGGACTGGAATGTTAGGGCGTGTGTGGTTTTATTAGCTATTTATGAGTGATTATTTACGAGTTAAACTCACATCTCCTTTTGTTTTCTAGACAAAGGACATGGAGTCACTTCCATGAGGTCCCTCCGTGTCTGAACAGGGTTGTGTACCAGGCTCCATCAGCTGAGCTCCTGAGGGCTCCTCCTGGGTGTGGGGGAGGGCTGAAGAAAGGCACACTTCCAGAAAGCCAGGAGTGTTCATTCAGATTCTCCATGGGATTAGAACCTACCGGAGATTAGTTAGGGAAAACACTTGCAGAATATAAAGGACCAGAACTGGGGAAGATGGAGGCTGGGGGATCCAGACAGAGCAGGTGCAGGTGTGAGCTCTAGGGGAGAAGGAGTGGGCCAGGAGGGTCTCAGATGGCAGCACAGGTCCAAGAAGGTTTTGGTCAGGCCACTGGATGTCCTTAAGCCAAAGACATAGTTGGAGTGGTCTTGTAATCTACGCTCACTGTACATGGGCACTGACTGGCTATGGCGTGGGCACACTGGTGGGTCCTGCGTCTCAGGAACTGGGCCATCAGCCCGCGTGCTCCTTGCAATAAGAGTTCTGAGCATTTGTTTGCACTCCCACTGCCAGGCCAGTAGGCACTTCCAGAGGCTTAACCCCCCTTCTCTCAGTTACTCATTCAACAAGTATTTATTGAGCCCCTACTATGTGCCAGGTGCTGTGCTAGACCCTGGGGATGTAGCTCTGAGTAGCACGCCCTGGCTCACGGAATTCATCTAGAGCAGAAGTTCTCCACTGGTCAATTTTGTCACCCAGGAGACATTGGGCAGTATCTGGAGACATTTTTGCTTGTCAAGACTGGGATGACGGGTTGTTATGGCATCTGGTGGGCAAAGACTGGGGAAGTTGATAAGCATCCTCCAACGTACAGAACCCCCTCCCCCCACAAAAGACTGTGGGTCCAAAATATCAGTGGTGCCACTGTCGTCAGGAAACCTTGGGCTACAGATTACACCCCCTTGTCTGAGGTTTCTGTCCAAGCCCTGAAGTGCTGCCCCAATGGGTCCGGGTAAGATCATAATTGAATTGGACAGTGGGTTGAGGTTAAGGGCTACCTGGTGAATAAAACAATTCTTAAAAGTTGCATAGAAGGTCCTCACAGGAGAAAAACATTAAGTGGTTCGCCAAACCACTCATTACGTTCCTCCCCTTTAACCCCAACTTCATCAGAATTCAATTAGCAGATAAGAGCCCCTGACTTGCTTTTAACCTCTGACAGTTTATCTTATTCAGCCCATAAATACTGGGGCTGCTGAATCATCTCTCTCTGCACTTCTAAAAATGATGGTTGGGTAGGTCGGTGGCTGAAATCTGGACTTACTGATCCCTGCATGGAAACCGCAGATGCTTCAAGGTTTACAGAACATTGCTCATTTCAGGTTCTATGAAATCTGCTCCACCGTGCTCTCAAAAGAGTCACTCATCAAGAGTGGAGGAAACTTTTTCTTCCAGGAAGTAAATGAAATAGTAGGGATCTTTCTTGGAAGGTGAAGGGGCTGATGAATTTGATGACTGTACTTGCGAAGCTGGTCTAAAATGAGACTAAGGGTAAAGTGATCCATATTCTATTAACAGCCAGCGTGTTGAGAATAAGGACAATCTCAACCCTAAATGTGGATACCAGCGTCTATGGGGCTGCACTCCTAAGCCCACAGGGTTCTACAGAGGATCTCAGCCCACGCGGCTCCCCAGCATTAAGGAGAGAAGGCTCCAGTATGCACAGGTTGGATTAGGTCAAGTGCAGGGTAAAGTTCAGCAATAAATAGAACTCAGAAGAAAGGAAGTGGTTCAGACATGAGGGAGTATCTATCTGTGTCACATAGCTCCCTAAAGGCAGGAGGGCAGTTTAGGACAAAAAGAGTCAGAGAAGAAAAGGAATCCAGGGACCAATTTATTTGTTTTCTTATTTTGTTGTTCCCCCCAATTCCTAGTCACAGGCATGATGATTCTCAGTCTTATCATGAGAATCCACTGGGGAAACGTCAAAGATCCTGATGTCCAAACCACATAGAATCCAATCAGGTCAGGACCTCTGGGGATAGAGCAGGGTGTCCAACCTTTTCTTTGTTCTCTGCCTACATTGGAAGCAGAAGATGTCTTGGGCCACACATCAAATACACAAAAACTAATGAAAACTGATTAGCAAAAAATAAAACTCATGCATACTTTTTGTGATATCCAACAGCACAGATAAGCAAAAACATCCTTGCAAAATCAGTATGTGGTCTTCAGGCCCTAGGCTGGACCTCCCCTCCCCCCAGGTAGGGCCAGCATCAGGATAGTTTTAGAGTCTTTTCCAGGTTATTCCAATGTCCAGCTGAGGTCAAGAACCCCTGCTCTGAGGTAGTGATTGGCGCTGGCTCGCCACGCCCATGCCCATGTCCACACCCAGAGAGCTAACGGGAAAGGAGGAAGTGGTGGGGTGACAGCTCCTTCTTAAGCTTGAAGTCAGGATCTTAATAGCACATGCCATTTGCACTCACATCCACTGGTCTGTCCTTGGTCACATGGGGTCATCTCCAGCTGCAAAGAAGCAGGACAAGGTAGTCTCTGGTTAGGCTGACGTGTTAGTTCAACTGTGTGAGTAGCTAAACTTCTGGAGGTTCACATACTAGGAAGGAAGATGAGGAGGGTGGATGGGGTGGTCTCTCCCACAGTGGTGCTATTACACAGTCTGGAGGGGGTGTGGGAGGTATGGTGGAGGGGGGACGAGAGGAGACAGGAGTGGCTGCCTCGTTTTTGTTTGGCCAAATCCTACATAAATGCCTGTCAAACACAGCTATGCTCTATGCCCTAGTCGGTGGCTTTTCACGCACTCAGACTGAATGCCTGCCGGGTGTCAAACACCAAGCAAGGTGCTGGGGGTGAAGCTGACTCCCTCGGGGAGGTGCTACCATGGCTCAGGGGAAGCCAGGTCTCAGCGCCGCTGGTGGCTGGTGCCTCCTGCACTGTGGGATGTGGGAGTCCTGCCCTGCCCTGCCCCGCTTCGGGTTGGAGCAGCTCCCTGGTTTTCTCCTCTGTGAAATGGGGGTGACCCTTTGGCTTCTTCTCAGGGTTGTGAGAGAGCGTATAGAATGAGAAGGTGCAATCATGCCTGTTCAGAAGTTTACAGGGTGCAAGAAGAAGCCATCGTCCTGCTGCCTTTAAACCTGGGTTGTGAGTTGTCTCTGTCCCCATCCCTGGATAAAAGCTCAGCTCTGAGGAGTCCCATAACTTTCCTGCTCACTTTCAGACAATAAAAATCCTCCAGACACTTTTAGCGACAGAGAACAGTCTCAATTTAGGCTCTGAACACAGTTCAAATATTAATGAAATAAGCAACATCTGGAATTTCATCCGTGGGTAAGGCTCCCTCTCACCTCCAGCATGGGCTGTCCCGGGCTGGGACACCTGCGGGGGATAAAGGAGCAGAACATTCTTAGTTGACCAGTACAGAGACCATTCATCACGGTGCTCCTGGCTCCCCCTCCCGGCTCTTACTTGGCAATGGTGGGCTTTTCCCAGATTCTTGGGAACTGGCCTCAGCTGTCTTGGTCAGATGGGATCATGGCCCTCCTCTAGCCAGTGGCATGAGGATCTCTTCAGCCCATGAGCAGCTTGTGGTCACACTTCACCTGTGGTCACATTCTGAGTCATCAGGAGCAAGATTTCAGTGGCCTCCGGAGTCTCCCCCTCTGTGCAGCTTTTGCCCCTCCAGGGCAGCCCTGTCCTCTTTCCCTGTGTTGCCTCCCCCGACCTCAGCTCTCCTCTTGCCCTCCAGGTCCTCTGAGTGGCCCCGTAAAACTCCCTCACTTAGCTTAAGAGCAGGCACAGCAGCCCCTTCCCAGCAGGTGGGTTTATAAGTGTGACTTTCAGACCAGAGCCTGGGCAAGGCCTGCCTCTGCGGCCCAGCACCCCACTGAGTACAGAGCCAGTGGCCGCACCTGCTGTTCACTGTCAGCTTTTGAGGTCACAGTTGACACAGAGACAGAAGACTCCTATTGTAACATCCCGTTGCATCTGTCAGAGTACTGGGATGTGGTTCTTTTCCTTCTCTTAAGGATCTATAAGCGGAGCAAGTCTCTCCAGGGTCCCGAGGGGAGTTGTCCCTTTGCCCTCTGGGGCAGGGATCTTTGGTAGCTATGGATTTGTGGGCCCTGGGAGCAGGCAGCGCTGCTGATGTGCTCAGAAAGAGAAGAAGATCCGTAAAGTCTGTACAGGCCAAGTACCCGAGGGGTGCCTGGGTGACCCCAAGATGCGTTAGGGTCAGTGTGGGGAGCAGGGGACCTGCAACACCTCAGCCTCAGGGGCCCCGCCCTCTGCTCTGGGTGCTGTCACACTTCGCCAGAAGAGGGCGTCCAAAGCTCACAGATCTCCAAAGAGGCAGCTGGAGAAGAGGGAGAGGGACTGTCATTTCATTTCCCTGCTTATACGCAGTAGAAAGGCTGTAACTGAAGCCTGGTGCACTCTCTCTCGGCCTGTCTGTATATATATAATATAATGTGTTGTAGAATGTATCATGCTATTACGTATATTCTCTCTGTGTAAATTTGCAATACTGTAACAAATATCCACATGCCCATTACTTAGCCTTGGCTGTTCACGTTTTGCCCTAATTACTTCTAATGCTTAAAATAAAATAAAGACCAATATATTTATTCTCCTCCCTCTTCCCCTTCACTCCATCTGACATGTCCGCAAACTTTTTCAGTAACGGAACAGTTAGTAAATATTTTAAACCTTACTAGCCACATCTGGTCCCTGTCTCCTCACCATCCCCGCCTTCAAATCCTCCTCCTCCTTTCTCTTCATCTTCCTCCCACCATTTAAAAGTGTAAAATCTATCGTATATTTGATGAGGTATTAATATCCAGAACATGTAAGGAATTCCTCCAACTCAAACACAACAACAAATAATTGAATGAGTCAAACTCTTGAATAGACATTTTCCCAAAGAAATGACCATTAGGCAAAA